GGGTGCGCCGAGAAGGGGGGCGCTGGTGCCACGTGAACGCAGCCAGAGGTGGAGCTCCCAATGGGGCTGCGAAGCGTGTAGAAGGGCGTGCCCGACTGGGTGCGGTGGTGCCATGCGAGCGCTTCTGTGGGACTCCCTTCGGGGCTACCAAACGTGTGCAGAGTGTGCCGAAATGGGCGCGGTGGTGCCATTCAGGCGCACCCACTTCAGCCCTCGGTGGGACTCCCTACGGGGCCACGAAGCATGTGAGAGGTGTGGCAGAATGGGTGCGATGACGCCATGCGAGCGCTGCCACGAATCGTGCGATTGGGTGCTCCGAAGTAGGCGCGGTGGTGCCATGCGATCGCAACCATTCAGACCTCGGTGGAACCCACTACGCGGTCACGAAACATTTGAGCGTTGTGCCGAATTGGGCGCGGTGGTGCCATGGGAGCGAAGCCACTGGGGCCCTCAGTGGAACGTCGGCGGGGCTCCCCATGGGACGACGAAGCGCGCGTGCGGTAGTGTCACGCGAACGCAGCCCCTGGGACCTTCGGTGGAGCTCCCTTTGGGGCTGCGAAACGTGTGAGGAGTGTGCCGAAATCCCACCAGCCCTCTGGGCGTAGGTGGTCTAGAGCAGATCCTCTTCCACCCCTCCCTCTTCCCCCTTGGGGAGGGGTTTACCCCTCCCCCTACCCCCTCCCCTGGACCTGGACGGGGGGGGCCGCGGGTAGTTAGAGCGTCCAAGATGGCCCAAGACGGCTCCAAGAGCGCCTCAGAGAACCCAAGATGAGCTCCAAGATGGCTCAAGATAGCGCAAGATCGCTCACGATGGCTCCTAAGATGGTTCCAAGAAGCCCAAAGACGGCCCCAAGATAACTCCAAGTGGCCAAACAGCTCCCCAAGGAGGCCCCGAAGAGGCCAAAATCGTCCCAAAACCTAAGGAAAATCAATGATTTTTGCTTTCTCGCCTTTTCGCTTCCGATGGCTATCCGAGGCCTGGAGATGGCTCCAAGATGGCCCAAGAGGGCCCCAAGAGAGCCCCAAAAGAGCCCCAAGACGGCCCCAAGAGCGCCCAAGAGCACTCCAAGAGCGTTCCAAGAGGGGTCCAAGAGGCGATTTTAGGGGCTTCCGAGGGGGGACGCTAATTAAACCCCCCCTCTTGTTTGATCGACTCCCTCCAAGATGGCCCCAAAAGCGCCCCGAAGGCTCCCCAGAGCGCCTCAAGAGGGTCCCAAGAGGCGCCCAAGATGCCCCAAGGCGCCCAAAAAGCCCTCCAAGAGGCCCTCAAAAGACCCCCAAGAAGCTCCTTCCCCTCCTCCTCCTCCTCCTCCGATTCTTCCTCCTTCTCCGTCCTCCTCCTCCTCCTCCTCCTCCTCCTCTTCCCCCTCCTCCTCCTCCTCCTCCTCCGACGACGACGACGACGACGACGACTCCTCTTCCATCCTCCCCCTCTCGGGGTCTGTGACAGCTTCCCCCGCCCTTTGTTATTCTGCATGCTCCCCGACTTCCCTGATCACCTCAACTCCCCTGAGCATCGTTTCTGGATGGGCTGGTGGGGATACGCGAAGCGTCAACAATTTGTGCGGTGGTGCCACTCGGGCGCGCCAGGGGTGCGCCAGAATGGGTGGGGTGGCGCCATGCGAGCACAGCCACTGGCCCCCTCGGTGGAGCTCCCTACGTGGCCACGAAACGTGTGACGGGTGTTCTGACACGGGCGCGGTGGTGCCATGCGAACGGAGCCACTGGTGACGTCGATGGAGCTCCCTTGGGGGCCACGAAGCGTGCGAGGGGCTGTGCAGAAACAGCGATGGTGCCATGCGAGCGCAGCCACTGGAATCTTCGGTGGAGCTCCGAATGGGACCACGAAACATGTGAGGAGCGTGCCGGCATGGGCGCGATGGTGCCATGCGAGCGCAGACACTGGGGTCCTCGGTGGAGCCCCCTACGGGGCCACGAAAGGTGTGAGGGGTCTGCGGACATGGTTATCTTGTGCGGGGGGCAGAGGCAGGGATGGGAGGAGAGAGGAGCGGGAGAAGGAGGCAGGATGGATGGACGCGGGGATGCGGGGCGCGATCTTTTCAAAACGAGGACCCAACACTACAGGACTGCTGAGAAAAATCCAATTGGAGGATGTCTGGTTGGCTTGGCGAACGAATGGAGCCATTGCGTGGCATGAGAGGAGGCGGGTCCCTGAGGAACGAGGCCCTGAGGAACTTGTTCCGCCGTGTTCGGGACCCTGGGGCACTCCACGGGCCCCCGGGGACCGTCAAAAACACCTCCGGACGAAGAACTCGTCCTGGGGAAAGCCTGGAGGCTTTGGGGCCCGGTTCCCCGAAGAAGACACAACCTGACCCTCACCGGGTAAGAGTGACCTTTGGTGCGCGGCTTTTGGGGGGCCGCGAGGGGGCCAAACGCAAGCGCGCAAGACGCCACTTCCGCCTCGCGTTCGGCGATCGGGGGACCCCATTCGGCCCGCACCAAAGGTCACTCCGGCGAAAGGTCACTCTTACGGCTAGTCGAGACACGGGCGTCGCAGGACAGCTGTGAAAACAACCGCACCGATACGTTCGGAGGCCCGCGCTCCCCTTCGTGGACCGGTGCCGCGCCCCCCTCCCTCCCCCGGCGCGCGGAGCGCGCCACGGGGGGCGCCAGAGGCCGCGCCAGGAGGGGCCCAGCGCCGTTCGGAAGCTCGCGCGGCCCTCCGAAAGTGTATATCTCTCTGCCAGTGCTTCATGTTCGAGACGACAAAGCAAGGACGAGGATAGCATCGGGTGACGATGATGACGCGAGAATCCCTGAGACCTGGCGAAATCACCACTCCAGCTTAGTTGGCTCCCCTGAAGGTACCGGTTTCGCGCTGGCCCTGGGAAGGACCAGAGGACCAGCAGCCGACGAAGCCTGTGACGACGACGCTGGCGACAAGACAACCCCATTCTCTTACGCCGCTCAATGTCAGTCCCATGCGAGACGTCCGATCTGCAGGACGTGTCCTTCCCTCTCGAAGGGGCCGGGACCGGGGGCGCTGCCGGGGGCCTCGGCGCAGAGCCGCGAAATCCGCGCGGACCTCCGAAAGTTTGTGCATGTCTGGGGTCCGAGGCGGGACGGGGTCCGGTCGGAGGTCCGAGCGCGCTGCCGAAGCATCAGCCCGGGGCTGGAGGCGCTTCCCGAGACCTGGAGAGGCCGTCCGCTCGAATGGGGTGGTGCCTCAGTGGGGCCCTACGGTGGGAGGCGGGGACTCCTTGGATCAGCAATAGTTACAAGTTGTCGGGGTAGGGTTGGGTGGTGCGCTGGATGGAAGGAGTTCGTTGACGAGTTGTGCAGGCGGTGGCATCTTCCGCAGCTGCCGGCATACCCAGGCCCCCGCGGCAACAGCTTCGCCTTCCACTTGCCGGGGCCCGCACTGGAGCACCACCACATCGACAACATGCTGGCGCATAAGCTTCACCGTCAAGACGGGGTATGGCAGACGGCCAACTGCTGGGCCTGGGTGGTGGTTGACTGCCAGCTCCTTGCCAACGTCGTGACTGGCCGCGCACAGCTGCAAGGCGATGCGACTCGACCGCTGTTCGTGAGGATGCGGAGACTGGCGGCGAGCTTGCACCGGAGGGGACTCAGACCCTCCGCTGAAAACGAGCCCTTGATACAGTGGCGACCACGGGAGTCCAATTCTGTTGCAGATCATCTCGCGAATCTGGCTCTCGACACTGTAGGGCCCTACATCTCGCGTGCTGAAGCAGACGTTGGAGATTGTCCAAATGTTCAGCTCCACACCGATTGGTGCGCGCGTGCCGGCTAGGGGGCGGTTATATTTGCTGTCGAAGCTCAAGACGATGGCCAGCCCCATTTCCGTCGGCTTGCGTGTGGTTCGCATCATCTGGGGCCTTGGGCGTCTCGAATTCAGGTCGAAGCCATCGCGCTGGAAACGGGGCTCACGGAGATGACGACTTACCTGCGAGGCCTCGTGCAATGTTTCACACATTCTTTGTAGCATTCATACACATTCAGCATTTTTCATTGGCGCTGCAATTGCTGCTGCTGGCAAAGTAGAAGGGGGCGCCAGGGCGTGAATGTCTGCAAAGGAAGAGAAATACAAGTACTCCAAACCCTCTTGGAGGAGACCTTAGTTAGGAGGGACAAGGACATTTGGGATAGGGGTTCATTTATGCAGATGTGCCAGACCGAACAGCCCCGATGTACATTCCTTATGTGAAGACCGGGACTTATGTGAGGCCACGTCTTCAATGTGTTATTCGGGTTAGGAGTACTCATGTTCTGGATGATCATTGACCCATTACCACCGCCTCGGGGATCAATATCCAGGGGGCCGAGCAGGGGGCGAATGTGGATCTGTTCGGGCCATGGGGGGCATGCAACCTGCAATGAGAGGCGGCGGTTCGCCAACCCACCACCAACGCCTGTGGGATCCATCTTCGGGGGGCCCAGCAGGCGGTGGATGTGGATCTGTTTGGGCCCTGGGGGGGGAGGGGCAAGTGTACACGCGCACCCTCCGCCTGCCGGGGTCACTGAACCTGTCCCAGCCTCGGATACAGGAAGGCAAGAGTCACCCGAGTCAGCTGCCTTCGCGCATCGCGAACCCCGCGATGCGCGACGCTCGGCTGTATCTTCGCGCAGCTGTGGGTAACAAAGGGAGGGCGGGTGCACCGCGGACTGCCAGGGAGCTCCAGAAGCTCTCGGACCCAGGCCCCCCGACGTCGGGACGTTTTCAGAACGTGCCCCCTGGCCAGGGCCCCCAGAGGCCGAAAAGTGACAGCAATCTCTGTAGCGATACAAACCCGCGAGGTGTTCTGGGGAGTGGCCTTTGGTTGCCTCGGGAGCCCCTCGGCCCGTTGCTCTGGCCCACTGGCCCCATGATCGATGGCACCTCCAAGAGCTCGGCGTACACGAGGGTCTCCTTCTCCGATAACCTTGCCGACAGAGCGTGAACGAGGTCCGTCTTCTCCTTTAGCAGCTCCTTCACGCGTTCGTATTGCTGCTCGACGATGGCCCGGGCCTCATTGTCAATCTTCTGCCCAGTCTCCTCGAGATCGCTATTTTCCAGAGATCGGGGGGGAGGGGGTCAGCCGAGGGCCTTACCTTTACGCGCTGGGAAGCCCCACGTATGCCCGCGCACGCCACTACTGCGCACGCCACTTCAGACCTGCGCAAACGACAAAGATAGGTTATCTGGGGGAAGGGGGGGAGGGCTGGCCCGAGTACCCAGGTTATCGCCAGACCCTGAACAAAGACACTCTCCTCGCTGTACGGCTTGTAGAACTGCTCGCCCGAGTTGTTCTGCTGGTAGGACAGGAGGCCGATCTCGCTGTTCATCCCGTAGACGGAGACGATCGAGTAGGCCATCTTCGTGACCTGGCAGAAACGAGCACAAGAGAAACGGGACATCGGGACCAATCGGTACGCGGGTGGAGTCGGGCTGCATCGGCGCGGAGCCGGAATCGAACCGAACTGTTTGCCGCGCCACAGCGCCCATTCGCGCCAAGCAAGCACATCACGCCGCATCAGATCGTCGGAATATCGGAGTATCGGAGTCGGATCGACACGGGCCCTGCCTTGTCCAGGTCGTCCGAGGCTCCGGTGGTGATCTTGCCAACGAAGAGCTCCTCGGCGGCGCGCCCGCCGAGAGCCACGGCGATCTTGTCGAGGATCGCCTCCTTGGAGAAGAGGCTGATGTCCGCCGGCAGGTACTGCGCAAAGCCGAGGGCGCCGCTGCTGCGGGGCACGATGGACACCTTGAGGAGCGGGTCCGCGTGCTCCAGGAACCATCCCGCGATGGCGTGCCCGCACTCGTGCAGCGAGATGGTCGCCTTCTCCTTGGGGCTCATGAGCTTGTTCTCCTGGGGCGGCGGGATCTATCCCCATCCGCTGCCACATCCTTTTTTATTCCCCCAGCAAAAATTATGATTCAGTCGGTCAAGCGGTTAGCAAGCTCTGATCAAGCCCGCCGCCCCGTGCGCAGGACGGCGCGCAGCCTGGGCCAGGGAGCGGTGCATAAGCCCTGCTGGCCTGGCCAGGGGAGGCACATGCACTGCTCCTGGCCCAGAGTGGGCCAGGCCTGGGGCACGGGGTGTGGATAAATTTAAAGCCGGGCCTGTCCCCCTGCAGGCCGATGTTAAACGAACGCTTAACAATAGTTCTAAAAAACAAAACAACAAAAAACAACAATACGTACAACACATCGTCCCAATACTATGTTTTAGGATCGATCTCGTCGCCCGGTCTCCTTCGTGAGGCCGCCCATCACCCGTTCGCTGGCGCGCTCGAAATCCTGCATCTCTATCGCGTCCACGCTGCGCCGCGCCGCGAAAATGGCCGCCTCGTTGCAGATGTTGGCAATGTCCGCTCCCGCAAACCCTGGACACAACGCTGCCATCCTCTTGGCCACGCTATCGAGCTCAAGGTCCTTGTGCAGTGTCACGGGCTTCAGGTGCACCTTTGGGGGGCGATAGACTTGGGGGACAAAATTGGTGCACAGGAGTGCAGCCAAAGTGCCGCATGGCTGGCCCCAGGAATGTTCGATGACTGCATGCTGGAGCCCCCCACACAATCCCACCGGTATCCTCACGCGAACTCCTTGCAATCCCGTAGAACCTTGAATATTGCCTCACGCTCGCCGATGTCGGGCTTGTCGATGGCGATCTGGCGGTCGAAGCGCCCTGGCCGCAGCAAGGCTGGGTCCAGGATGTCTGCCCTGTTGGTGCCTGGCGGAGGAGGAGGAGGAGGAGGAGGAGGAGGAGGAGGGGGAGGAGGAGGAGGAGGAGGAGGAGGAGGAGGAGGAGAGAGGAAGTAGAGGAGAGGAGAGAGGAGGGAGAACGTGCAGGGGCAGGAATGGGGCCGGGACGTAGGGAAACGAACGCCACGCCCCTTTGCCCGCCCTCCTGCGAGCACGACCACGCCCGTCCCGGAAGAGAACCCGTCCATCTCGACGAGCATCTGGTTCAACGTGTTTTCGCGCTCGTCGTTGCCGCCGCTGAAGCCGCCCTTGCCGCGCTTGCGGCCGACGGCGTCGATCTCGTCGATGAAGATGATGGACGGCGCGCTGGCGCGCGCCTGCTGGAACAGGTCGCGCACGCGCGACGGCCCCACCCCGACGAACATCTCTATGAAATCGGAACCGCTCATGGAGTAGAAGGGGCAATCCGCCTCGCCAGCAACTGCCTCCGCGGCGGAGGGGGGGAGATAGGCCCAGGCATCCATCGTATCTTCGTGCCGCGTATGTATATCCGAGGTCGGGGGAGGTAGTTCGAAGTGCAACGGAAGTCCGCCCACCTAGAAAACGGTTTCGGATTCGTGCTCGGGTCCTGCGTGCGGGCGAGGCGACGCTGCGCGGGCAGGCGAGAATAATGAAACCGCCGTGGCCTGGGCGAAGAACTCAATGACTCTACGTCCCCTGGTTGGCCGGCGGTGGCTTGGTGATGTCCCACCGGTGTCCCGCTGGTGTCCGGTGGCGCTGTGCCCGATGGTGTCCCGTGGTGTCCCGTGGTGTCCCGTGGTGTCCCGTGGCACGGTGTCCCATGGTATCCCATGGGGTTCCGTGACGTTCCGTGGTGTCCCGTGGTGTCCCGTGTCGCGGTGTCCCATGGTGTCCATGGTGTTCCGTGAGGTCGATTGCAGGATCGATAGTGCGATCGATTATGAGATCGATCGTGAGATCGATAGACAAATCGATAGTGAGATCGATAATGAGATCGACTGCGAGATCGATATATGATGAACTCGGTAGATGGAGGGATATCGATCGTGAGATCGATAGGCAGATCGATACTGAGATTTATAGATAGATGGCCAAAGGTGCTCCGTGGTGCCCAACTGTTCCGCCGAATCCGAAACGCACTGCGACCCCCCGTCAGGAAATCGGATGCGGTTTCGAAATCGGGTCGTGCGTGAGGGCGAGTCGAAGCTGCGTGGGCGGGCGAGAGGAATGAAACCGCCGTGGCTGGGGCCAAGCTAAGCTCAATGACTCTCTGCCTCCCCGTTGGCTGGCGGTGGCTCGGTGATGTCCCGCCAATGCCCCAGGGTGTACAATGGCGCTCTGTTCTTTGGTGTTCCGTGGTTTCCCGTGAGGTCGATTATGAGCAAGATAGTGAGATCGATGGACAAATCGATAGAGAAAACCATAGGGAGATCGACTGTGATCGATAGATTGTGAGATCGATAAATCGACGGATATCAGTAGATCACTAGATCGGGAGTGATATATATATATATATATACATATATAGATAGATAGCCAAACAAGCCCTCTGTGGTTCCCAACTGGTTTCCGACCAATCCGATGTACATGTGAATCTGTATTACTGAAATATTTGCACAAAAAAATAGCGTCGAATATTTTGCAATACTCGGCCTCTGGGGACCGACAAGTGCCCGACGGCCGTCAAACAACGACTCGAGAGGAAGACCTGATCTTGACGAGTATACATTATATATATGTAGAGAGAGAAAGTGGGAGACAGAAAGAGAGAGGAACAAAAAAGAAAGACAGAAAGAGAGAGAGAGAGGAAACACAACAAAAGCCAGACGAAAGACCCAACCATATGGAGCTGCGAGTGCCACATTGTGGGTACCGCTTTCGGTGGAGCTCCCCATGGGGCCACAAAGCGTGAGAGGGGTGCGCCAAAATCGGTGGCGCGGGCGCATGTGGACACCGCCACTGAGGGCTTCGGTGGAGCTCCCTATGGGGCCACGAAGCGCTGGGGTGGAAGAGACGCATGCGAACTGCGCCACTGGGGCCTTCGGTGGAGCTCCCTATGGGGCCACGAAGCGCAGTCCTGGGTGGGGAAAACGATTGCGAACGAAGCCACTGGGACCTTCGGTGGAGCTCCCTGTGGTGCCACGAAACACTGTCTGTCCTGGATGGGGAGGGACGCATGCGAACGCTGCCACTGGGGCCTTCGGTGGGGATCCATGTGGGGCAACGATGCGCTGTCCTAGGAGGCGTTGGCGCATGCGGACCCTGCAACTGGGGCCTTCGGTGGAGCCCCCTATGGAGCCACGAATCGCTGTCCTGGGTGGCGCTGACGCATGCGAACGGTGCCACTGGAGCCTTCGGTGGAGCTCCCGATGGGGCCACGAAGCGCTGTCATGGGTTGGGGAGGCGCATTGGAACTGTGCCGCTGGGGCCTTCGGTGGAGCACCCTATGGGGCCACGAACCGTTGTACTGTGCGGGGGAGACGCATGTGGCCTGCACCATTGAGGCCTTCGGTGGAGCTCCCGATGGGGCCACGAAACACTGCCTGGGTGTGCCTACATGGGTGGCGTTGACGCATACAGACCCTGCCAATGGAGCCTTCTGTGGAGCTCCCTATGGGGCCATGGAACGCTGTCCTGGGCGGCGTTGACGCATGCGGACCCTGCCACTGGAGCCTTCAGTGGAGTTCCCTATGGGGCCACGAAGCCCTGTCTTGGGTGGCGTTGACGCATGCGGACCCTGCCACTGGAGCCTTCGGTGGAGCTTCCTATTGGGCCACGAAGCGCTGTCCTAGGTGGCGCTAACGCACGCAGACCCTGCCACTGGAGCCTTCGGTGGAGCTCCCGATGGGGCCACGAAGCGCTGTCCTGGGTGGCGTTGGCGCACGCGGACCCTGCCACTGAAGATTTCGGTGGCGCTCCCGATGTGGCCACGAAGCGCTGTCCTGGGTGGCGTTGACGCACGCGGACCCTGCCACTGGGGCCTTCGGTGGAGCTCCCTATGGGGCCACGAAGCGCTGTCCTGGGTTTGGACGCCCGAAATGGGCACGGAAACAATGGGCACAATACCCAACAACAAATGTTGTCCCAAACCAACAGCGGCAGCTGTTGGTCAGGCGGCCTCCTGTCTCAAATGGATAACGGCCGCGGCGACGCAGACAGCAAGTCCTGTTCAAAATGAACAGGAACTGCCGTCGGGGATTGTACCCTTTCTTTCTGTACCCATTTCGTTCGTGCAAATGGTTGGCGCTGACGCATGGGGGCCCTGCCACTTGAGCCTTCGGTTGAGCAAGTCATGGGGCCACGAAACGCTGTCCTGGGTGGCGTTGACGCATGAGGATTGCGCCATTGAGGCCTCCGGTGGAGCTCCCTATGGGGCCACGAAGCGCAGTCCTGGGTAGCGCTGACGCACGCAGGCCCTGCCACTGGAGCCTTCGGTGGAGTTCCCTATGGGGCCCCGGAGCGCTGTCCTGGATGGCGTTGACGCGTGCGGACCCTGCCACTGGAGCTTTCGGTGGAGCTCCCGATGTGGCCACGAAGCGCTGTCCTGGGTGGCGTTGACGCACGCGGGCCCTGCCACTGGGGCCTTCGGTGGAGCTCCCTATGGGGCCACGAAGCGCTGCCGTGGGTGGCGTTGACGCATGCGGACCCTGCCACTGGGGCCATCGGTGGAGCTCCCTGTGGGGCCACGAAGCGCTGTCCTGGGTGGCGTTGACGCATGCGGGCCCTGCCACCAGAGCGTTCGGTGGAGCTCCCTATGGGACCACAAACCGTCTGAGGGGTGCGCCGAAATCGGTGGGGTGATGCAGATGGCGACGATGATGATGATGCCGTCGATGGGTGGATGGAGGAGGGGAGGAGGAGGAGAGGAGAGGAGACGCGGGGTGCTCTCTCTTCGATACGAAGACCCAGGACCACAGGATGATTGGGAACAAATTATGCTGGCGAAGGACCCGATCATATGCAGTTGTGAATAACGCAAGTGTTTGTAGATTATTTGGTGAAGCTCCCTATGGGGAGCGAGCAGCGTGTGAGGGGTGTGCCAACATGGGCGCGGTGGTGTCATGCGAGCGTAGCTGGGGCCTTCGGTGGAGCTCCCCACGGGGCCACGAAGCGCGTGGGCGGTGAGCCGAAAGGGGTGCGGCGGTGCCATGCGAGCGCAGCCACTGGGGCCTTCGGTGGAGCTCATTGCGGGGCCGCAAAACGTGTGCGGGGCGTGCCGACATGGCGTGGTGGTGTCATGCGAGCGCAGCCACTGGGGCCTCCGGTGGTGCTCCCTATGAGGCCACGAAGCGTGTGAGGGGTGTGCCGAGATGGGTGCGGTTGTGTCATGCGTGTGAAGCGCCTTCGTCCCTCTTCATGTCGTTTTGTCCGTCCTTCTCTTCGCGCTCCGCTTCTCCCCTTCCCCCGTTTTTCGCGCTGCCTCTCACTTCTCGCGACCGCTGCCGTGTAGGGCCCAAAAGCCGCTCGCAGCGCGCCCCGCGGAAAGAGCGAACGCCCGCCCCTCCTGGAAAGCCCTGCCGGGCACGCCGTCTCCCTGGAGCTCTCGCGCCTGGATGGCGTTTGTTTGAGACGTCTTCAAATTGGCAGCGGAGCGCGCTGCGTTCCCCGGCCTCTCCGAGCCCGCTGCCACGGCAACCGCCGGCTTCGAAGGAAGTGGTGTCAGAGCACGTTTTAAAACTGATCCTCAACAAAGCTGGGGGTCCTACGACGAGGATCACAGTGCGTGGGAGCTGTCCACAGGGCTGAAGCCAGAACGCATAGGGCCACGCATCAATCAAAAGTCAAGGCTTTTCGTCCAGCCTGTTCTTCCAGAACCAAGCAAGACGTCTTGACGTGGCTCGGTTGTCTGCCGATCCAATTAACGACTCCGGAACGACTGGCCCCCTTGGTTTCAACTACTTTTTGCCCTTTATGCAGCAAGAAAACATAACCTCAAACGACGCGGCAAAGCTGTTGTGCTTCTCTCGCTGGCTAAAGTGCACCGGGAGCGGTGGGCAACAACAGGATTGCGCGTCCGAAACTGTCAGGCTCATTCGCGAGTTCGAGGCCGGCAAGTTCGTCAAGCTGGGCAGATTTGTCAAAACTCCCATTCTTATCGTGGGCGCTGAGTTGTCCCAGCACCAACTCAGCAGCCTGATCGCCTGTTTGGCGTGGATGCTACTCTGACTGTTAGGGCAGCGCGGGATGCAATTCAGAAGGCCCTGGAAGACAACCTCCCAGGAAAAGCTGCGACGGGCGGATTCGCCGCAGACGTCTGGGGCGAGCCTGCATTGCCCGAGTCTCAGAAGGAAAATGCGTCTTGCTACGACCAGACATGACAGGAAGCCACCGGGAAAGACGCTGTCCACGGAAACGCAAACGGGTGTCTGAGGCGCGGTGGCCCCAACAACTGGGTCGAGCCCTGTCCGCGCCCGCCCGGCAGCGAAGGGGGGGCAAACAAAAACAAAAACAAAAAAAAACTTCA